CTGGAAGAATATTGGGAGATGAACGGAGATCTAGCTGCAGAGCTGAAGGAGATCTGGAAGAACGATCCTGAGGCTGTCGATCAGCATGGTAAACTGTTTAAGGCGTTCTTCAGCACAAAAAAAAGGTTTCCAGGGTACTTTGCAAATGCGTTTGAGGCCCCACAACATCTACCTCATGGAGCAGTTCCATTTCGACTTTATGGAGATGGAGCGGAGGTGAAAGGCGCATTCGAAAAAGTGAGTTCTATATATAATACTATTTTGAAGCCGTGCCGTATATATGTATGACTGAACGTCTTCCACGCTAGGTTCGAGCAACATTGAAGTGTTCTCCCTCGTGCTTCCCTGCAGTGCTGGAGGGTCCACATCGATGGATAGTAGAATTGTGTTGCTTGTCGTTTCCTGTGATGTCCCATTTCTTTATACTTTGGAGACTGTTCAAAACCAATTGTCCGAGGCTTTGTATGAGGAATGTCCTGTACACACATGATTCAGCCCGTGATGAAATCATGAAATGGATTGCCTGGTCGTTCAATGCCATGTGCCGATGTCTTAGCAGTATCATTCTGTTGAGGCTTCACTGCTTCATTTCGCGCTCTAATGTGGCTTGAGGTTCTGGAAGGTGGCCTACTCGCTGCCCGGACGGGAAGGAGTTCACTGAGGAGTACTTCCCACAATGGGCCCTTTGCAAAGGTCAGTGGATAGCAAACAACTGGCGGGGCGTTTTGGATGGGTTCCAGGGGGATGCTGATTGGCTTCACAAGTGCTTCCGATTCAAACGAGCCTTTGGTTGATTCATATAACATGTCCTCGAAGGATTTCTTCAAGGCACCCCTTCACATGGTTTGCCGGGGTCTTTCCCAGGATCGTGGCATTCCACGAGGCGTTTTGTGTGCCCCTACTGCGGCGCGGTTCAGAATGTGCTGGAGGGAGAGCCCCCGTCACTTCTCTACACCCACTGGGGTGATCAAGCAGCCCATCGAAACACGTTTCTTGGGAAGATGTTTTTAAGGGATATATAAGCTGAAAGACTATATGCATTGTACCTAGCCACCACCGTGATTGTCATGTAGCTATATTTGAGGCTGCTACAAAACAAAGATGACTTTATCTCTATCCATGGAGAAACTGCTCTGTGCACCATCAAAGGCTTCAGCCCATGGAGATCTTTGGATGCAGGTTTTTAGGTTAACTTCTAATCTGTGTAGGGTCAAGTTGATGTTGAACCTTTTTGCAACCATCAATTCCCTGACACCATTGAGGAATATATGCGGATTTGTTGCACATCATGGACCTCCAGATCATACCGGACTGTGTGAGTTCGACCCTCCTCGAACTGAGCGACGGGGGCCGTCGTGACAACTCCCTGGATGGTCTGCGATTGGCCTATCATTCCTGGTGTCAAAGGAATAGATTCTCGTTTGCACTACCCTGATTTAACGCGAAGTTGGGTTCACAATGTTCTGTTGAATAAGATCGTACTTCTGAGGGGTGCCCTTCGCAGCCCGAGCTTCACCAAAGCTCTTCAGCACTGCCATTCTACAACCCAACTTGACCAGTCTCGACCTCAATTTGGGGTTGAGTGTTTCCATGTGCTTCCGGCTGCCCCTCAGGCTATCCGCATATTAGCCAGAAGGTGTCGAAGGGGGCCGCGAACCGGGTGCTTGTGTTTTGGTTGGCCCCGCTCACCTACACACTAGCCACTGGCAACCCCCATGACCTTACTGCTGTGTGCTCTGGTCAAAAGTAGATGCTTTTCAACATGTGTGCCAGTGGATGTTTTGAACCCACGGATTGAAACCTTCACCATTGCCCAGCGTTCCCACCAAGGCACAGGGCCAACGTTTTCGGGTCCCTCGCCATCATCTACAGTGAGCTCGCCAGTCAGGGGACACGTGGCGTATCTAGAAACGTGTGAGCTCATAAACGCGTGTATGCGCAGTACTGCAGTCCTGAGGAAGTTTGTGACAGACGACTCTTGTGTGAATCGGATCCTAGAAGCCTACTATATCTTCAGAACAGCCTACAACTGCATCTAGACTGCATCAACCAGCAACACTTACAAAGACTTGTTGTTTTCCAGTTTTTAGCCACGTGCGTTGTAGACACAATTGCAGCCAAGATTTGGCAACGGAATCTCTGCAGAAGCGGCTGATGAGATGGCCAGTGTACCCCAAACTTCACTCGAGCGAGCATTTGTTTGTGGACTTCTTGGGGTTCAACCGTAACAACCTGCGACACGTGAGTACGATGATGGACGAGGACTTGCTCGGCCGTTTGAAGTGTTTTGTCTCAACCTAAACGGCATGTTGCAGTTTCAATTTATCTTTGTTTCCCCGATCGACACGATCAGACAACGTCTAAGGAATTTGTGTCGACATGGACACCCCAAGACTATCTCATTGAGGAGTTTGCAGCACTACATGCTCATGGCGTTGCTCCACTGGCTTGGCACATCAACTGTGCTGTCACGATAGGCCCAAAGAGGTTTCGACTGCGCCTGAGAGCTGAAAACAAAGCATCTGAGTGGTACACTGTTTCTTGTGCAATTTTTTGGAGGGTGTGTGGATGTGTGTTTGGTTTGCGGCCTGTGCACTGGCGCCTTCATAGGTTGAAACTAAAAGTGGTTAAAGGAAACAGACCGTTTTCATTTTTGGTGGCTATGTTTTCAAAACAAATTGTCAACTCCACAAACGAAAGCGTTGAGAGCGGACTGTTTTCATGCCTTGAGCTAAATGTAGAAGAACCTTTGCCAACTCACGGGGCGAAAGTTGTGAAGCAAGCGGACTGTTTTCATGCCTTGAGCCAATGTAGAAGAACCTTTGCCAACTCGAGAGGGGGAAGTTCTGAAGCAAGCGGACTGTTGTCATGCCTTGAGTCAATGTAGAAAAACTTTGCCAACTCAAGAGGGCCAGGCAAACTAGACTATATGGCGATTTGCCACAAGGATCGTCTATACAGCCTTACAACCTGTGTTGGAAGTTATGAGGTATATATCGCGGCAAGCGTGATACAACTAACATTGCCATGCAAGTTTCAGATGAAACAGGTGATGTCCTACATGCTTCATGTGGTGTGTGACGTGTGAGGCTGCAAGTTGCAAGACTCCTCGATCACCTGTCAAGTCAAACTCATCAGCGTCGTGACAAGACCAACAAGACACTCGCAGCACAACACTGGCCTGAGAGCAAATACCACCCGCCAAGAGCATGCTTGAATAGTATGCGCGTGCCGCGTTCTCACCTGCCACATGAACCCTTTTTCCGCCAGGCGTTCGTTGCAACCGTTAAATATAGCTTTGTCACTTGGCGCGCGACGCAGCACTCAGTCGGTATTCTAGTTGAATTTAGTATGGCCCAATTTGTACGGCCTGATTTGCGCATGATTATTATGCATGGCTGGCGCCAGTTGCCAAAGGAAACGTGGCGAAACATCAATATCAAATATCATTTCACCTCGCGCCAAACAGGTGTAAGCAAATTCAATCCTTGATCGACGCGACCAACACACTAAGGTGCCACAACGTCAAGCTGCGGCCCGTCAAGGTCAGGGGCCTGGGGTGCCTCCTTGACAATGTGGCGCGCGCTAAGTTCACATGTGCGTTGGAAAAGACGAGACGGCCATTCTGAGGGCAGTGACATTGAACTAATTAAACGCTAAACTGAGACATGGTAGTCGACAAAAATATTGAAAAATGTCTATGGTCACCGAGAAGCTCCCCGATGCCGATGAAGCGAGAAGGCTGTTCACCTAAGTTACACAAGGCCCCAATCGGGGAAGGAAAGACGCAATCAACTATTTGCCCAGCCCATGAGATGTTTCAATGGCAGGATGGCGAGGCAAGTGCATGTCACAAACTGGTTGGCGACGCCGGTGAAAAGGTCTCTTGCGACAAATGACACATAACGTGTGACAAATTGAATGTCTCTGGTGTTTCACTCGCCCTTTTCTTTGTCGTTGTGAGCTTCGCAGGACGACCCTTCGTCGCGCGCAAGAGATGCCCAGAAGAGAGTCGAAATTTTACCGACTGAAATCAAACCATATCAAACGTGAAATATGTTTTTTATGATACACAAGAATATTTTCCATGACCCACCCAAACACTGTGTGTCAGAGTCAAAAATGTTCTTTTGAGAGTCAGCTTGTTGTGGATGGACGCGTGAACTCAATCAATGCCAGGCTGTTGCACATATCGCAAAGAATCTCCCCTGAGGTTCAGTTTGAGACAGCCTCGTCCCCGTCAACTTTCACTTTGCAGTCATGGTCAAAGGGGGCGTGGGACTCTTGCTTGGCTCCTGGTGTAACATGTAGAAGGCCTTGGACTTCCACTTGCCAACTGGCTCATCTTCATCTGCTGACATCGAGACCTTAATCATTGTCTTGTGACCCTCCATCTTGAACTGGACACCTTCTGAACTTTGTGTCACATTTACCTGCGCCGCATCCACCAATGTTCAGGCCCCTTCAGGGAAAGTGTGTTTTGGCGTAGTTCATAGATAGGGCAACACGAAAACAGGACAAACCGTCAACTCAAAGAAAACTGACAAGTGAAAGATTTTGGTTGAGCGAGGCAGCGAACAGACTTTTGAACAACTGCAACCCTTTAACGCGCTTTAAAGGCTGCACCCTTTGGCAGTTCACGCGTCACAAATGGCAGCGGTAGGCTCCGGCGTGGCGTTTGACATGTGACTTGCCACATAGCCGCGTCTCATGCCTCTGCCACTTGGTAGCCATGTGGCTAGCTAGCGGTGTCATTTGCCAGTTGACGTGAGGCCACCGCATAGACACCACACATGATCGCAGCGCTTTGCAACGAATACGTGATAATGGATGCCTCATGAGCAAATTAGAAATCAAACAGCAGACTTATAGAACCTCAGCAGCAACGCCGCGTGGTTCAAGCCAAAACTCGCCAGCTTGCCAATCTATTGCCGCGCTCAATCAGACAATCCCTTTTTTGTGTCTGGCTGGCTGAGACTCCTGAGTGCGAGTGTTGCCACTCATCCAAAAACACTGATACTCCTCCACCTTTTGAGGAAATACTGAGCGTGGCACTCAGGATCCAGCATTAGCCCAGTTGCACTGACCTTCAGATCTTGAAAGATCACATGGCGCTCCTCTGCAACTGTGTAGAGTTCCTGGTCACGCATGAAGTATTGAGCTTTAGGCTCTATGATCTGGAGGGCAGAGGCCAGCTCAGTCCGAAAGTTTCGCAACCTGGCAATCGTGTAGCGTTGCAAGACGCTGTGCGTGGGACCTCCGCAAAGTACTGCGCAGGAGTCAACCTGCTTTGAACAGGCTGTGGTTGGAGACATACCCCGCAAAGTGGCAGAAGACCGCTTCAGGCAAAGCTTCCTGTGAAAGCAAGGCGCAAGCTTCTGTCCCTGCGCAGCAAGTTTCAAAACTTCAAGTTCGTGGGCAGCATAGTGGTGAAATTCCATCTCACCCTTCTTTTCCAGAAGCTTCTCCGCAAATTTGGGCACCGCCTCGTGCTGGGAGGCGCCAAAGCTGGACCGTGACATGCAGCATGGGCACAGCGCGTTGAGCAAGCATGCTGCTTTGCATTGCGTGAGAATGACAATGACAAACTGACTATAACAATGGGAGGGAAATACATTGCCAACCGCAACGCCCTGACATTGAAACCCTTAGAGATCAAAAATTGAAAGCGGCGGCGTGCGAACATGTTTTGATCTGACGTCGCCCCTGAAAAGTTTTCAAGTTGAACACACTAGGTTGAAAGTACAATATTCATATATATAAATATTTCCAGGCGCCACGCATCTGCATTCTGACTCTTGCGTCAGAACACCCCACGCTCAAAACCCTATTGTGATGCTTGGCATGCAGCCACTGAGCAGGCAGCCATGTCCAAGTTCCATCAATTGCCACACACCTACTTTAAAAGTTGACACCTACCTTAAAGAAACTTTCCTTTGAAGCTGACGCCAGAATTTTAAAAAACTTTCATATGGTAAGGCCAGAATCCGTGATTTAAAAGTCAAAAAAGTCAACTGGAAAAGTCAACTTCAAAAAACAGGTCAAATTGAAAAGTCAACAAATCAAAAAAAAATCGAAAAAAGTCCAAAAAACGTCAACCATAGACCACGGCTCAAAGTCAAAAAATGTAAAAAAAGTCGGAAAAGGTCCAAAAAAGTCGAAAAAACACCAAAAAAGTCAAAACTGTGGCTCCTCGCCTTGGCGGACTACTGGAGTCAAGAAAAGTCAAACAAGTCAACCGTAGACCACAGCTCGAAAAAGTAAAAAATGGTCAAGAAAAGGTAAAAAAAGTCAAAAAAGTGCAAAAAAAGTCAAACAATAGTCGAACAAATGTCAAAAATGTCGGATCTGGGCAAATGGACTTTTTTGGACTTTCTGAAATTTGCTGATTTGATTTTTTTGACTTTGACTTTTGGGATTGACTTTTTTTGACTTTTTTAAATTTGGAAAACAGGCTCTGTTCAATAACGCCAGAAGCCAGCGCAGTTTCCACCTCACCACGGCGGTTGGGCCGAGGTTCAGTCGCTACGGGAGAGCCATGATTGGAGCCTGAGTCCACGCCAGCCTTTTGACAGCGAGGCTAAACCGCTAAAGTCCGGGAACAATGCAACAATGCAACGTCAAAGTAAAGTGCGAAGCATTCACCCTCAACCCAATAGTGTGATCGCGTCTGACAAAGGGGCGCTCATTCTTCATCACCTTGACCGGTTATTTGTTGGCCTGAAACTTTACGTCACGGCTGGCGGCAAGAAAGGGCTTGTTGTTGGACAACTTGGAATGGGCCGCAGTCGAATTCATTTGCCTTGGGGGTGAAAATTGGCTGCGCCTGCCTGAACTGAAGCTCTTTGGATCCTTGCCCTTGCGCAAAAAGCTCCAGGACTCACCGTTGATAACTTAGAGCTGCGTCTCCCCTGGATGAACCTGACCTCCAAAAATGGTTCTTGTTACAAATGCAGTGCTGAGAGCCAAAGAATTCAAATACTGTGGTTTTCTGGAGAATTAAAAGAAATGAAAAATTGAGAATTAAAAAGCTTGTTTTCTTCAGCAGGTCCAGTGCCCATCTGTGGCTTTCAGGCCGACAAGGCCACACAGGATTCAGTAACATGACACAATCATTGATTTACTGTAATGGGGAAACTATAGAATGAGGGGCAAAACACCTCTCGTTGGAATGAGGGCCAAGCCACGTCTTGTTGGAATGAGGGGCAAGCCACCTCTTGTTGGAATGAGGGGCAAGCCACCTCTGGTTAGTTGATAGGATCAATAGCAAGGGTTCCGGTCAAAAAATGCAGGCGACCAGTCAGGGGCAAGCCACCTAAAGAATGAGGGGCAAGCCACCTCTAGTTAGTTTATGGCAATATCGATCAGTATTGAATTATTTAGTATAACCATAGGGAATCAAGCAAGTTATTACTTGTGAAATACAGTATTGGTATGGCCCAGGCCATACAAATCCAGGCAACCTCTTGATGACTTTTGGAAGATAACCTCAGACAACAACACACTGTAATACCCAAACTCTTGTTTTCATACAGAAAAAAGGACAATTCTCGCGATAAAAAGGACGATTCTCGCAAACAAAGATTACTGTGTAGGATGTTTTGGACGCTGCGCTTCACCATGTTGGAGCTTTGGGTTGGCCAGACTGCGCTTGGACAGAAGAGAGAACCTTTCCAGCAAACGCTTGCTTCCTGGCCATAAGTTTCCATCAAGATTCCATAAGTGGGCGGTCAGGCTCAAGGTCAACGATGACTCACTTCGATTGATCGCTACAAGGGAGAGAAAAAGCTCACGATGCAAACTTCATGAAGAGTGGCAGAACAGGCAGCTGCCTTGCATTCCTTTGCAATGGGCGCCCAATGGGCGCACGGTTGTGAGCAGGCGGATTGCGAGATCTCAGCCGCTTTGTTAGAGAAAACGGAGACCTTCCAGGTTGCGCAGCGAATGCCCTGTTTCAAGGCAATGCTGGAGGACTCACTCTTCAAGACGCCAGTGACGTCAGCGCAGGAGGCGTGGTTCAATCCGGTACCGGATAACGCCCAGAGAGGTCTACGTGACAATGATGTGGCCTTCGGCGCAGTTTTGGCGATCTGTCTTTAATAAGGCCTCTTGACCTTTAGAAGAAACCTATGCCTGTTGACCCTATTTGCATCTGTGCCTCCCTTGCATCTCTTGGTACAAAGCTGCAGGTTGAGTTGCGCGACGCTCTCAAAAAAGACGAGTATGATCACCTGATCAAATAAATTGACTTTGACGCCGAGGTCTTTGAAATCTGGAAGGAAAAGTTCAGCGACCGCCGCCAAGATGCTTGGTTGTGAGGAGCATTTAGTCTTTCAGCGCCGCCAGCTACATGACTCAGTCCAGGGCTTCCTTGATGGTTGCGTCCGCCTTTTGTGCTGTGGGACACTGCGAAAGGGTCTGACAACTTGCTCCCACAGGTCCTTTCATTCAGGATGGAGGCGCTGAAGAAGTTGCGCAACACTTCCATGTGCGCTGAAGTCCCCACAGTGGTTGTCGTGAACTGGACAGCGCCATGTTTGCTACCAAAGGCAGAAATGACCACGGCAATGCGCTTGCGTGGGCCCTGCGTGACAAAGGTGGGCATTGTTTTCTCACCTACCTTCTCGTACAACCGGGGGAAAAAACTTTCCTCAAGGAGCGCACAGGGTACCAGATGTTGCTGCAGGGTGACCACAACCTCGACCACCAGTTCAGCTTGATCTTCAGCGAACGGTGCGATCAACTACCCTGCAAGGTTTGCCATTCCAGGTCATTTGGTCGACCTCACCAAGAGTAACGCTTTCTGCGCGGAAGGCAGGGCGCACGGATCTTGCCAAGCAGTTGCCAGCCAAGAAATGGTAGATGACTTGCTGCCAAGCCCGGACAAGGCCATCATCTTTGATGTGAGTGCTCCAGTGGCCAAACAGCGGGAGACCAAGCCAGACGCTGAGGCCTGCTACCATGGCGATTGTGGTTCTAGAGAAGCCGTGTTCTTTTCAGTTCCATAACCCGTCGAATGGCCTTTGTTCTTCCTTCGAAATGCAGCCGACGCGGAAGACCCAGTCACGAGAGCCAGTAGCCACTTACACTGGCATGCGCTCTGTGGCGGTGGCGTGGCGCGGCGTGGCGCGCAAAATGGACGGTCAAGGGACTACAGCCCATCAAACTGATGCTGCGCAGAAGGTTGCCCTTAGATGGCCTCAGAGACGAAAGTTGTCTGAAGGCGCAAGCGCAGTCATTCAAGCACGTTTACCGCAAACTCACTCGCTGTTACTTGTGTTTGCGTTCCTTGGTGTAAACTTCACAGTGTCAAATACACTACGAGGGTTTAGTGGTAGTAGCACCCCGCGCTCAGCGCACGCATACCTTACGCGCTCGTCGCAGCAAACTAGACATTGACATGAGTGCGTTTTGAGTCTTTGCGCGGCGCACATGTAACCTGAGACGTGGCCAATGGAGAATGAGGGAAGATGTCGCGCGCCGTTTCACCGCTCTTTTGTGCGAGCTGTTTCACTTCCAATCTATAGACGTTGGGGAGGGACAACTCACTTACTGTAAGCCAATGGACAGTGACTATACTTTGATGGGCTGTGGTGTTAGTGAAGGTTAAGATAATTAACATAATTAGCTCATAGTTACTAATGGGTTGTAAAAGTTAGCTAACTAGTTAGCGCCTACCAAAACAGGCCTTTGGCTATAGAGAAAAAGCAACCAGCAAAGTTGTGAAAACAAATATTGGCTACACAAAAAAACATGTTTTTAACAAAGGAACAGCAAGAAAACAGAAGCCAACCAAGGCTACAAAGGCAGGAGCCACTGCAGTGGGCACAGGCGGTGGCATTTTTTCTCCTACCCCTGCAAATGGTAAGGGATTAAGGAAACATAGCCTTTCTCAGCTTTGCTGAAAATCAATGTGCTTAGCACTTGGTTTGCAGGAAGTACCACTTGTTGTTCAAGAGGCTTCCATACCGCTGCTCCATGTTCTTTTTTGTAATCAACAAGCTGGAACACGCTGAGCACGCAAGAAACTATATTGTCAATGGAAAATATCAACCTAATTTGGCCACAGTCCCAGAGGTGACCATCAGAGCTCACAAGTACCAAGTCCTTTGTGTGTACTGTGCCAGCAGGGTATTTGAAAGAGCTGCAAGTGTGGCAGGTGGACCCAGGTGGCAAAATGCGTATTGATTGCAACAAGTTCAGCACGGCTGGAGATGGTTTGCAATGGCTTGTCAAACCCAAGTTTGGTGGTAAAGGAGCTTGGAGGCGGTGGAGCTGCCCTGCCAGGATCTCTCTGCACACAGATTTTTCATATTTTGACAAATTCTGCACATCTTTTGCAACAGTGAGGATCTCTTTGTGCTTCCTCTCTTGGGGAAAGCAAGCGATGAGGACCTTATGAGTTTCGAATGAGTTTTGATAATGGTGCATCCAATGGAATTTCTTTATCTTGAAAGCAGTCCACCCAGCTTCATCAAACAGCCTGTGGCACTCTTCTGCAGCTCTGTCTAAGCTGGGCCCAGACACCTGCCCATACAGAATGCTCTGTAGCAATTCCAAAAAGTGGCATTGGGAAAGGAATGCCTTGCAAGCCTCTTGGCAAGGTGCCTCCACACCAATTGTTCTGCAAAAGTATTGCAGGACTGGTGCCAAGCTCAGGATTTCTGACGCTTGCGCCTTCAATCTACCAGCTTTTCTGTGAGGTTCTATTCTCTTTTTTACAAACACATATGAGCAGTTCTTGTAAGAAGCTGGGAACTCCCACAGTTGCAAGTAAATTTCCATGGAGTGCCAGCTTTTGAGCCCAGCGTGTGCCATTGCTTCCATAAACAGGTAGATAGATACTGGCATTGTCCCCTGTGCAACACCATGCATCCAGTCATGCATGAAATTTGTGACTGGTGCTATCCTGCTCCTCAGCAATTTGGATGCCCAAAGGCCTTCAGCACTGAAAGACCACCCAGTAGCTTGTTGCCAAAGAGCAAATTGGTCTGCTGGCAATGTGTTCCATTTCTCTTGTAGTCTGTCAAAGCTGCTCAATACTGACTTGTCATCAGTCAGCTGCAACGCAGACTTTGGCTTGAAGGTGTTGGCTGCACTCTTGTCTCGCACAATCTGGAGAAGGTCCGCCTGAATCTCTTCCCGGACACCCCCAGCATCCTGATCAACAGTCGCTGTGTGGCTCCAAACATAGTGGTTGATAGCTTCAAGAGTGTCCAAAATGCAACTTTGCTCCAACAAATCAGCATCATTACTGTCCACATTCTTGATGAATATTTCATGGGGAACTTGGAGGCCCAAGCCTTCTTTCCTCGTGTGCTTTGCATCCAGGGATCGCTGCCTGCCCCTGCACGTCGAAGTTCGTCTCCCAGGTGTTGATAAACCCGCACAGTGGGGTTATTTTGTGGATCCTGTCGTGCTTCTACACTCTCCGAGGCATGGCGCCAGTGGACAAATCGAAGTTCCGTGGCGACCTGCTGGTCATTTCGAATCGAGGCCGTGCCAATTTGCCATGTGTCTCCTGGCCGGCTGCACAGCATTGGGCGCTGTGTTCCAATGCGGTTCGTAAACCTCCTGGGCAACACGCGCACTGGTTGGCAGCAACAGCAATCGAATTGCTGGCGCCCAAGATCTTTCTCCCTGATCCTGAACTTCTGGAGCTCCTGCGCAGCTGTGTGCCAGAGCAGGGAATTTTGTCGATGGCAGAAGCCCAAGCACTGCTAATGCGCAACTTTCGGGTGGGAGGCAGTAAGCCAAGTGCATGCGCGCAATGGCTATAACAGATGTCACACGAGCCCTATTTAAGCCGATCCCTTTCCGAGAAGTTTTTGTCATTTTAGCTCTCTTCTTACCCCAGTTGACCTTTGCAGAAGGTGCCAAACTGGATGGCAAACTATGGTATAGCCCATCCATCAGTCGAGAAGAGTCGATGGTCCACGTTGCACAGGGCCTTCAGGGCATGCGTGAGTATAGAATTGCCTTTGCGACACACTCGAGAGCTGCAGCCTTCGTTTCTCCGGAGCAACCAGTCCACAGCTTCGAATCCCTTGCCACCTTGCCGTCTGAGCATATTCACATAGGCAGTCAAGTAGGTAGGGTATACCGCATGGTGCTCCGAGAAGACCACAGAGTGTTTGCGCTCCTGATGGTGCTTCTCGAATATGTAACTCAACCCAAAAAGAAGTCAAGGCAGGGCTCCAATGAATCCAAGGAAGAACTAGCAGTTATAGGCAGAGTAGCCCAAGGTCATGGACGGTGGCTTTCATTCCCACCCCGGAGACTTTTGCTCCCCTGCCAACGCAAGTTGAACTTGGTGTTAACTCACCGATCCAATGGGCACTCCGCCTAGCCTGCAGCGACTAGAGACCCGCACCATATATGGGCTCCCCATCCTTAGCCTGGCTGAGGTTGGCGCCACGGTCTCTGCCGACCACCTGCTGCAAATGGCCACAATGCCCCTCGAACACAAACCAACGGCCTTGGGAATTCCCTACCCGCTCCAGGTCTCGTATCAGTTCGACGGAGCAGAAGCATTACTACACAGTCTACATGCACTATTCGGACTCCTGGCAACGCCCACAAAAAAAAACCCTGCAGGAAGGGCCATTACAAAGCTGTTGAGCTCCCTGGACCTTGATGCGGACCAACAGGCTCTTTTCATCAGGCCAGTAGGCAGGGAAGAAGCAGTTGCCAACACGGCTAGCACGACCTATGACAAGGTCATGCTCCACTGCACAGGCAGTATTCCAGGGGCACGGGTAGTGGTTTTACCACTACCGGTCTCATCTGGGAGCAAAAAGGGCAGACCCACTCGCCCCTCAGGGCGCACATGGAGAGTCTTGATGTGCTCATTTGCGAAGAAGCCCAACAAGACATGGACCTTAAGTCAGCTTTTGTTCCTGCAGTCCCGCGACAGCCATTTTTTAGAATCCTGCTAGGCGACCCTCGGCAAAGCCCAGGAGGTGTTTTGGTGAAGGCCCCAATCGGTCTACGCGCAATGCACAAATGGTTTATGCCGCATGGGCTACCGGCAGTGGCCTGTAGTCTGCTTAAGGAAAGCGCCGAAGTCCCGCTACTAGAGCTCACACAAGCAGCGCAAGAAGTCAGCAGCATAGCGCTGGGTTCTAGATGGTACTCCCGTGAGGACTGTCCTAGCCCCATGCCAGCCAGAGCCAGCCTACAGGCGGCTTATCAAGAGCTCCGCAAGATCAAACTTGACACCCCTGAAGGACTAATTGCAGGACTGGGGTATGCCCTGACACGGCCGGGCCATGCGTTCCAGTTCCATTAGGGTAATACAGCGGAAGAACGCTCGGGGCCACCAATGGAGTATAATGCTCCCAACGAGCGCAAGGGTAGCCCAGGAGGTGCACGAGCCTTTAATTGGAATCCACTATCCCATGCTCTGCAGCGTAAGAATTGCAGCTGGCAAATCGGCACTGTCTCCATCAGAGAAGAGGACCGGCTGGCCACAGGCTTCCGGTTTGTCAACTGGGTACATGATGTCCCGTGTCCAGAGGCTAGAGCGGCGCCGCCGCCGGCTGCGACCAATGCAGCGTACCAACAGATCGAACAATGGCTTCCGATGAATGAAAAGGGAAGTGACAACGTTCTCGTCCTCACTACCAGGACAGCCAGTGCACAGCACCTGCAAGGGGTTCTTCCAGCAGTCGGGCCGGCGAGCCAATGCAGAGACAGCGGTCAAAGTTGCTGGTGCAACAGCCAAGCACTGTATAGTCTTGCATGGTAGATCCAATTTTCTTAGCGGCAACTCACGTAGCACCGACTTTGATCATGAGTGCTACACCCGTGCCAATGTAGCATATAGCAGAGCCACACAGCGCACAGTCAGGAGGAGGGGCAATTGTGGTTGTTGGCCAGAACCCTTGATGCTCCGCCATGCATCTGAGTACCGATGCCCACAGTCGGGTCTGCTCTGCACGTTTTGCATGGACATTCAGGATCAGGGTCGCTAGGGTTTCGACTGGTCCCGGCAGTGTCGGGATGGATGCAATTGCCTCTCTGAGGGCCACATGGACTCCTGCTGCTGGGGTTCCGGGAGGAGGCTAACTGCATGCAAGACCCCATCATGCAGATTAGGCAGCGGAGTTGCTTGCACATCTGGGATCCCGACTCTCCTGGCAACCGTACACCATGGGACAAACAGGTATGGCGCATGCTTTTGAGGATCTGGCAGTGAGGTTTGCGTGTGAGTTGCCGCCTGCGCCCCACCCTCTTGGGAGCGCCGGTCTGTGGCTGCTTGCAAGAGCTGTTGAACCAAGAGTTCTGAATTCGTTTCCCGTGGTGGTTCTACCGGCTCTATGTCCGGGTCTGGAGTACCATGCCCCAGGGGTGTATGCTGGGGATCGATCGCACTCGCGTGCCATTGCATCAGAAGGCAAGAGAAAGGCTTCTTGCCCGATTGTTCGCAGTTTATGCGAAAGCCCTAGGTGTTGCAAGTGTTTACAGTGTGCAAAGGCAGAGCCCATGATCTCAGTCACTTCTGTGCTTTTGAGGTCTCAGCCTGTTGCAGTTGCAGACAGCGTTCGCAGGCCGCTGGCAGGCAGGAGGTTATTCCAGCATCCAGGAAGCAGCACTCTGGCTGGGCAACGTGTCAAATTGGCAGGGTTGTACTCGGACTGTCCCAAATCAAGATGTCGCAGTGCTGTGCATTTTTCGAAGGCCCCAGGCATCAACTCTGCCTGCGGAGCCAGTTGATGGCCGTTTCAACGCTATTTTTTGCACGGGTACGGGCGCTGTGTGTGCCGAGAGGCACAAGTCACCTTGAGTGAATTCAGAGTAGGATGAGAGGATACGAGCCAGAACCAAAAAGGCCCAACAACAGAAAACCAAACGCCAACCAAAACCGCAACAAACACACCGACACGGAGCAGGCTCAAATCCGCTCGAAATGTGAAACAAAAAGGTGAAGATCCGGAGATCTAACACGGGAGTGAAACGGGGCAATTAATTCTACATTCAGGCTGCACTCAGTTTAGGATGTCCATCATAAAGCACCTTCCTGGAAGTTGGGTGGCGAGTATCCCGACGCAGATGTTGTGCTGCACTGTCGTCGGTGAGCAAGACTGAATGCAAGTGTGAGGTGCTTTCCAGGCCAGTTTCGGAGCTAGGCAAGACGAATCTTGTATCAAAGAGCACGAACGAGCCTATGCTAACGTTGATATGCTCCTAATTGGCCTGCTCTGTAACGAAAGGTCCTCCAGTTTGCGGGACAAAATTCCGGCTTGCTCTTGGCCTTTGCTTGAGCATTGTAATACGTGATGGCCGTTTCAACGCTAGTTCCAATCTGCATCAAAGACTTGGATCCCAAACTGCTTGCAGCCTGGGGCAAGCACCGTGCGGAGTGCATAGCATCTGCGGAAGACACGTGTTTGTAAGCAGATGACTGTGTTAGCTAAATGCACAATTTGGAGGCGTTGGCAGTTGCGCCATGCAGCCTCCCCTGTCATACGGAGACCTGTGTCGTCCGAACCTCCGTGAAAAAAGAGAAGGCTTGTGGGAGGACTCTGTCTGTGGTGCGATACGGGACTCGAATTGGCTTTCGCATCACCTTTCATTTGCCCCTTGTGTTCGGCTTCCTCAAAACATGGGCACGAGATGACAGTAAAGCAATTGTTGTCTCTTAGGGTGTGCCATTGAGGCCGTTTGTGGTCTGCTGCAGGACTTTTCGGCTCGAAGTCAGGCGTGGAGTTCCGGGCCAAAGGACTGTCAACCATGACAACAGACCATATGTCAGTGACCAGCTCACAATGGAGCGATGAAAGGACAATGGTCCTACACCTGATCTTGACCACGCTGGCGGAGGAGGAAACCCAGCTGAGAATCGACCTTCAGGAATATGACCGCTTCCATGAATTCGAAAATGCTGTCTTGGAGCAACTCCCCAAAATTGGAGAGAGCAGCACCTTTGGCTGTGAGCTGGACTTTGTCTGCTATGGCACCAGAAATTAGTGGACCCAATCCCATCTAGCAGTTTCACAAATGGAGGTTGGAACACGGACAATTGCACGGGCAGCCGTCTGAGTGCTTTTACCCTGTACTAGTGTTCAGTTTGATTACCTCGACCCCGGGATTCATTCCCTTGATTGGCTGCTACGCAAGGATAGATAGCAAATCCCACCAGGGATTGTCAACCTGACACCCCTCAAAAGCAGTAGCAGCAATATACAGGCGTCGTCGGCTGGTTTTCGCGCTTCACTTTCCCTGCCGCCAGATTTTAACAGGGTGGGACCGGCCGCCTGTGCGCGCTGCCAGCAGCTGCAAACTGTTGATTTGTCCCGAACGGACATCATCGAAATATTAGGCTCGACCTTTGCACACTGCGTACAGTTGCAACAACTCAGCCTTTCCCGAAACTTACGAATCATAGAGCAAGAAGCTTTCCTCCAGTGTGCCTCGTTACAGGAGGTCTGCATCCCGCCACCCCTACTTTACATTGCGCGGCGTGCTTTTGCAGGTTGCACGCAGCTTCGAGAACTTCGTAAAACGGGGAAAAGCAAGACTTGGCGAGGTACATATGCCCGGCTCAATGCCTTTGACAAATGTGAGCAACTAGACAAGCCCAAGTGGCTTCGATTCTTACCGCCAAATGCCAAAGATCAGTGGAGAGAAGACTTTCGAGAAGCCATACCCTAGGCCGTAGAAGCTTAGTCACAAAGTGGTGGTGAGTTTCCCCCCGCCACTCCGAGGATGCTTGCCAGTCGTACCAAAGTCCAAACAGAGTCACTATTTCGCCTTCACCATCTACGATCTTGTGAGCCTACTGGAACGAGAGCCTTAGCTCCTCGTTCCTGGCAGGCGGGTGGTAGCGAATGGTAATGGAAGGCGCCCAGGGATAACCTTAGTTACTCTCTGTGGCTGCCAAACCATGGCCAATCTTGTACAAAGATGGCGCAAGAAGCATGGTAGGATAGGTCTACTGTTTCACATGTCTCACACGGGCCTTGCACGTAACAGGAGGGTGTCTTCACGATGGCACCACTTCATGGAAGGACGGTTCACCCCTCTTTGGCACATTCTTGGGAGCCAAGGGGTGCAATGATGACCTCCCTGGGGGAGGGAATGCAGCATCTTCGTCAGCAAGCTTTTTCGGTTGCTTTGTCTCCACCGCCTGACCCTTGACCCGCCTCTCGCTTCGCTTGTGCAATCAGTTGTATGGGTTGCGCTGTGAAAAGGGACTTTTCCTCGGCTTGCCCGGCATTGATTTCCTTTGGCAAGAATCAGTACTGCTGACAGTCAGATCAGCCCCTGGCGAAAAGCTAAATACCACGTTTTGCCACTCGATGCAGTGGCCGTGTGGTCACAGTTTTGATGATGGAACGAAGCCCCTTTGTTTGGCTTCGCTTGCTCTTCGCTCGTGCACTGACCCTTTTGACAGACTTTCGTAGCGAATTCAGGCCCATAGATAGTATACAGCCAACTTTTCTCACCTGTCTCACCTCCGTACAGAGGAAACACTGTTTGCTGTTTGGATGATGGGGAATCGGCCTCTGGCCTTTTGGTGGTGTTTGGTTGGGGTTTTTGTTTTGGTTGGTTTTGGTCGCCTTTAGGGGCTTGCTTGTGTTCTTTTCCCCATCATCATGTTGTGTTTCCTTTCCTTTCAATGATGACCTGGGCACTCCGCCCACACGGCGTCCGTACTCGTGGAAAAAGAAGTCGGCTGGTTTTCGTGCTTCTATAGGTGAGGCACACTAAATTATTGCACCCTGCAAAAGCCCTGTGTCCAATATAACGAAGCTGTTGTGGGAGGGCGACTGTGCACAACGATGCGCAGGCTTCGAAAGCTTCAGCACTGATTTCCTTTAAATAAATTGGCAAGGATACATGCGCCAATGACTGGCAGTGCGCAAAGACTTGCATGTGCGCAATGTCCACTTGTGTCTGCGAGAGATCGACTTCAACTAGCTGCTTGCATTGTGCAAAGGCCTTGTGCCCGATAAAGGTGGTTCCTTGGGGCGTTCGAATCAATTGGATTCCTGACGAATGGAAGCATCCAATTGGTAAGCCTACAGGGGGACGAAGGAGCCCTTATATCAGTGATAGCTTTGGGGGAGGCCAATCTGCGCAAGCCTTTCGCATCCCTCAAAGGCATAGGGGGAGATAATAGCCCCATTGGCCAGTCGGCAGGAGTTTTCTGTGAGCACCCCTACTTTCTCGAGGGCACAACATTCTGCAAAGAGTCTAGCTCCAAGAGACACGCACCCTGGCATTGCAACCGTGGTGAGCGCATAACACCCTTGGAAGGCAGCATTCTCGACTGCAACCACAGAGCTGGGCAATTTGACAATGGTGAGGGTGTGGCAGTAGCGCCACGCCTGCCGCTTGATGGTGTGAAAGCCGGCTTCTACTTGCACATGCCGAAGACGTGCAAGAGAGAAAAAAGCTTTGGCAGGGAGAATACCTGATTCGTTTGCTGGAACCAAAATGGCCATGGCCTTGGGGTGATCTTCACACACTTCTCGTTTAATTTGCTCCTTCGAGCTCACCTCTCGTAGACATTTTTGAATGACCAGATGAAATCCCTTATTGTCTCAGAGCTCTTCATGAATTGGGTCACTGAGGGGGCAGAGGGTGTCTTCTGCAAGGAGCGTCAACTCGCACCCAAAAATGTCCAGGCCCAAGCTTTTGGATGACAGCTCTACTAAATAGTCTTCTAGCATTTCCCAATGATGGTAAATGCTTACAGGAACTACCACTTCGATTTCCTTGCCTGCCATGGTGACTAGCTTGAGGGGACAAGGGCAGGTGCCGGCAAGGTCATCATCGCCACAGCCACTGTTACCCATCAAGTGCACACAATAGCAAATATTGCAACTATTGCAACTATTGGTTTGAGCCAATGGCAGCCACTTCTGCTTTTCCCTACCTGCTCTGCTAAACAGCCCTGGCTATTGTGTGCTTGTCAGCAGGGCAAAGGCCAGAGGAAGTGCTCGCTGCAGCCGTTGTTTGCTCAGCTGGTGCATTTGCTTGCTCAGTTTTTTCCTGGGCAGCTTTGACTGGATTCGTTTGATTCATTGTTGCATAGAAGGCGTCAATTCTAGATCCTGTACGCTCTGCGTTGACTGCCTCCATGTCCTGTAGATACTTTGCATGGCTGAACCACTCGACTCTGTGCTGCCACTCGGCGTCCGGGATGGCATTGCGCCAAGGAAGCGCGTAAGGCAGCTTCGTTTTGTTGGCAAGGCCAGCCGGGTGTCCTTGTCGACAGTAGAGCCTGAGTGTTCTTGAGGGGTGGACGTCAATGTACCTCTTTTGGCAAGAATCTGCCAATTGGGTCGTGAGAGGACCACCGCAAGGCTGGTGAGAAGCCATTTGGAGATTAATTCATACTTATGCCACTACTCCGCGCCGCATAGGCATCCTTTGCTCTGAGCAAAAGGCTTTGTCGGAAGGAGAAGCAGCCTTGTCCCTCCGGCGGCGCATAGGTGTCATCCTCTACCTTCTCCTTGTCTTCCTCAAGGTCCAGTGCACCTTTAGGCACATCCCTCGTGTTTGCTTGGGCTGCTGCACCTGCCTGGGTATTGTTTTCAACGGGGGGAGGGGTAATCTCCGGGCTTCCCGGATCGCGCTTGGCTTTATTGGCGGTCAGCACTCCTTGCTGTACCTCTGGCCACACTGGTACCTCAATTCGAAGGGTACTTTCAAAGGTGGACTGGAAAGAGACCATTTGTCCCAAGTTGCCATCAAGGATTCCATGTTCATGTGCACCCGCCAGCCTAGGTGTGTCTGGAAGGGCAGAGAAGGCGCTGGAGGGGCATACTCCTTCGTATGTTCCCACCACTACAGTATATATGGACTGTTGGCTTCACTTTCGCTATTGTGCCTGTATTTCTTCCCGTCCTCTGGCGTCACATCAGTGAATCGCAGCTTGTCCGTGCGTTCAATGAGTTTGTGTACCAGCTGCACCGGAAAGTATACATGCAGGTAATGAATGGGGAGGTCCGGTTTACCCAAGCTTTGATTGCGGCCAAAAGACATGACCACTGTCTGCATAAGCGACAGAGTCCTGCCAGTAGCTTCAAGCGCTGGCGTGCCCCGTTCATCCCTCGCTCGCAGTGCCGGGGTACCATTTGCCTCCGCTGTTTTGGACTCACAAGCTTTGGCGCAAAAGGACAGGAGGCCGTACAGCCAATGGCCTGGGTCAGCACACAGCGACAACCCCATGGGGTCAGAGCTCTTGGTCACATTCGATGCGGGTTTGAGGAATGCAAAGAGCGACGCCAGTCTGGCCATTTCGCCACAGATATTATCGAAGTTACGGCAAATGTCTTTCATGACCTCCCGCGGCAACTGGCAAAAGTCGATCCCTCGAAAACTGAGCTCGGCACCTCGGCGGTGGAGGGTGACCCTGAGCAGCGCCCCAATGTGACGCAATTGGACACTAAGGCGTGCTAAGGGCAACTCCTGCGGCAGGTTGGCGTACAAACTGACCGGGGGCGCCAGGGGCAAGGCATCGAGCTCCTCTGCAGTCTGTGCACTTGCTCGTGTAGTCATCTCGACTGAAAGTGTTTGGTAACGATGTACCATATGCATTGCTCTCTGCTCTGCAAGCAGAGCAATTTCTGTGTCCACCGACCCAGACTGCTCTTATTCTTCCTCCTGGAGGTTTGTTTCCTTGGTCAAAATTGTTGGCGCAAATCGCTGAACCTCAGGATCTGGCGTTGCATCGTTGCCCCTGACAACCGAGTACTCGCGATCCAAGAGCAACTGATCACCCACTGACAAGGTCTTCACACCATCCACAAGCAATTTATCACGGTGCGTGAGAATCTTCTTGCGACGGATTCCTTTGTCTATGCCAATGTCTTGCAGATCCTGGCCAGTCAGGTTTGCCAGCAACAGCCCATCAACTGCTGCAGCTTCAAACGTTGAAATGTATTGGCCCATGCTCAAAGTCCGCAGCCAGTGAGACACCGCGCCGACATCCATGGTGCTGATGTCTTGCCTTGGCTCTGGCTCGGTTTTCCTTTGAACCAAAGATTCAAAGCCGGCTTCAAGCGGCGATCGGCCGGAGACAAGCGAGGGGTCGACATGCCGCAAAAACTGAGGAGCTCCGTGTGGAAGAGGAAGACCACGGCCATGACGAAGGGCCGGATCTGTTGGGAGCGTCTCACAGGCGCGATGACCGCGTCACACGTTGAATGGCGACAGCTGTGTCTTGAACCGAAAAGGCTTCGAGACCTGCAACTACAAGCAGCTGACAAAACTTCTAGATATAGGGCCACCGGCCAGAAAAATGCTGATTGACACCCATGCTGATTAACATCATTGACATTCACAGGTTCGTGTTTCTCACTGCTTTCAGCTTGCTGGGTGTAGCTGCAGTGTAGCTGCAGTCAGTATGTTGCAGTCTCCCAGAAAAACAAATTCCACACTCCAGCAGGGCACGCAAAATCCCAAGACAGTACCTCTCACGTGGGAAATCAGGCAAGGTTTTTCTTTAACTCCGTCACGGCAAAATCTATGCATGAACCTGGCCAGCTCGTAAAATGAGCCGGGTTTCACCTGCATTCAGGCGTTTCGCATGTCCGTACCATAGACACACAGAAAGTGGCCAAATTCACGCCGTGGCGTTCAAAGCGGGTGGACTCAGGGCGAGGGTCTTCGAGTCCCAGATCCTCTTCAAAAATTGGGGCCTGGACTTCTGGAGCGACCGCATCTGTTCTTGATGCTCGTCGTGAAGGATGAGCAGCGCCATTGGAAGGGCATCGATGGAAATGGTGGGGTCACGGATGATGTTTCCTGCCAACGACAGCCATTCTTGCATATTCGTGGCCACCTCTGGAGATTTGGCACTAACCTCCGAATACAAGAACTTGGTCCTTTCATGTTGGGTGATAAGTCTTGTGGCCATTTCAGGATTAGTAACTCCTGTCGCTCTCATAACTTCCAGCAACTGATCTTGCAAAACTTTAAGGCTTGCATCTTTCTGTTCCACTTCGGCCTCTGCTGACAGCAAGCCTTGCGAATTCAGAATATTTCGCCAAAACTTTTCAGAATCCTTCTTCCTGAGCTCTACAAGATGCTCCTGCCGTTTTCCTTTCTGGACATTGATATCCGTAAGATTGTTCTCAATCTCTTCCAACTTCTGATCATGTAGTTGTTCATCTGACATACGCTGTTCTTCATCCTTCTTCACCTGGTTGTCGTACACCTCCATTTCGTCCTTCCACCAGAATCGCCACCAGCTCTTGACGTGCCAGTCGCGAATATTCCTTGTTTCATTTCGCTGTTGTACTCCCATGTCTCGATACTTCTCCTTGAGCTGCTCATACCTTCCTTCTGCTCCACAAGACGGTGGTTCTGCTCCTCTAGTCCCCGAAGTGCTTTCTCTTCCTTACGATCAAAAACATCCACGGCAACAGTGTTGCAGTCAAAGCCCGGTTCATTTAGAGGGTGGGTGTGCTTGGGAGAGCACACACTAGCTCAAAACCCTTAGAAAACACTGTAAATACTGCGCAACTAAAATGAAGCAAAAACACTGTGTTTTACAGTGATTTCTTGCAAAAACCTCTCCAAAATTGAGGTTTTGAGCTATTTTTGGATCAATTTTGTGAGATCCAGGCCTATCCCAGTTTAGAGGGAATACCAAAAAAGCAATAAACCAAAAAACCAAAAGCCAATAAACCAAAAAAACAAAAACCAAACAAACCAAAAAAAAGAGACAATGTTTGAAACAAAATGGGGGCACTATTGGTTTTTGGATGTTGGCTGCATTGTGTCTCAAACATGGCTTTTTTTTGGTTTGTTGGTTTTTTGGTTTATTGTTTTTTGGGTATTCCCTCTAAACTGGGATAGGCTGGGATCTCACAAAATTGATCCAAAAATAGCTCAAAACCTCAATTTTGGAGAGGCTTTTGCAAGAAATCACTGTAAAACACAGTGTTTTAACTCAGTTTTTTGCATGAAAAACATCTCCCAGGAGCACCCGTTCTGTTCATTAACGGGGTGTACAAAACCTACCAAAGCAAGCAAAACTCCTACCATAGCCCAGGCGTGCGCAGGCCACCTTTCGTGAGTTTGAAGTTCACCAAAAAAAGGGATCCAAGGGAAGCCAAGTCACGGAAGCAATCATATCTTTCAACCCGCCATTCCGCGCCGCAAGGGCACATTGCACCTCCGGATCTGCCAAATTGTAGATGCGCTTGCACTTCTCTGCGGCTCTCTCCTTGTCTTCAGTCAACTGGGAGAGTTCATCAAGGTTCGCTTGCACTGCAGACCCTCCTGGTAGCGAAGAGTGCAAGGAGCGAAGGCACGTTGGAGCAACTCTTGACTGCGCAACGCAGCTTTGTTGGCCTGTTCCAGCATCTTCTCTTCCCAATTCTCAAGACTTTCATTCAGACGCGCTAAGGCACGGGCTTTTTCTGGGTCCGTCATCTTGTTCTTCACTTTTTGGCAAAAGCTGCTGATGGCAACTGCCAACTGCTTTTTGCCACCCTGGATTTTCATGATCCTTTCCCGAAGTGCAGCCTCCTCAGCATCAGCGCCAGGAGGAACAATGGCTGTTTCAGTGCACTTGAGGCAGGATTTTGAACCGCTGCCTCCCTTGATGCCAAAAGAATACTTTTGAGATGCACCATCCTGGCACAGGATCCTGAAATCAAAGTGCAACCGAAGTTGTTCTTTGCTTGGACCATGCAGCAAAACACCAAAAGTGTCAGGCAGGGTTCCTTGCTCCCCATTGAAAATGCTAAGGAGGATGACCTTGATGATTTGAGACATGTGTCCCTCCACTTGGCTGACGAATGTCGACCTGCAAACAAACAGTGGGATCCACATGTTCTGGTTGCTCAAGTGCTCATAGCCAAGCTCCTTCCAGGTAGCGTACACTACCCACAATTTTTTCTGCCTTTGCACTTAATGGATTGCCTGGAAAACACTCATCTGAGTAGAGCACCAAATTGAATTTGTTGCTTGGTGATGTGGGCCCATGTTTTTGCCACACTTCATTCAAGACTGCGTAGAACTGGCCAAGCTTTGTACACAAAGGAAAGCAGGTTGACGATTGTAATTGCTGGTGCAGTTCCATCTTTCATGGTTACCTCTTGTGGCAGCAGCAAATCACCAAACCGGTTACAGTCAGACAAAGCCTCATCTGCAGCAGCTCTCATCTTCTTGGCTGATTTTGCTTTTGGGAGCCCTTTGTCACGAATATCCCTGAGAATTGCTTCTAATGCAGCTTTGCTGCAATGAGGCACTTTCTGTCTCAAGTCATTCAACCTTTTCAATCTTTTGGAAGCAGAGCCAGAAGCACTTGGGGTTTCCATGTTTTTCATCTAGGCCAATGCAAACAGGGAGTGGCTACCAGAGCTGGAAATCTTTCATGCCAACCTTGCTGGACCAGACACTAACATTATGGCAATGATGTCTTGCCTACCTCTTAGTGTGAAAGGCTGCCAAACTTGGAATGCTTGCCTGGGCTTTTTTTGCCAAAGAAAACAGCTGCAATGTGCACCAGACATTCTTGTAGCCAACCATGGCTAAGGTACAGGTGGAAGACTCAGCATGCAGCCAAACATGGCTAGCAACAACAAGATGGAACCAACCAAGGCTATTGCAACAACAATGCATATGAGGGACAAATGTTTTCTCACATGGCAAATCTCAAGGTGTTCTACACCTTCAAGAGCACACCCAAAGCATATTGCATTGCAATATGTTGACACACTGAGTGAGACAAATCATTTCTTGTTGTTTGCTGCTGCCCACACCTTCCATTCTTCTCTGTTCATTCTCAACCCTTTGTACAAAGGGTTCTTGCACTGATGGCAACCAGATCCCCTGCACTTTCTGCAGCCCAGCTTCAAGGGAGTGGACCTGGTGACTGTTGACTTTGCAGGCTTCTTCAGAACACCTTTGAGGCATGCCCCTTTGCCACCAGGTGCCTTGCCTTGGCTGCCTTCTTCTTTGCCAAAGCATCAAAAGCTTCCTTTTCAAATTCCTCCAATGACTTGGAAGGTCTGGCTGACTTCTCTTTGTTAGCGTTCACAGACTTTGGCAAATCATCAGCTTCCTTGGCTTCATTGGCAAGGGGCAAATCTGTGGAAGAGCCAGAGCTCGTTTTTTTGGTCAGCGCCCATGCCACTGATGGTTCTGTTGGTCCATGACTTTAGCGTGTGCCCTCATCATAGCCATCATAGTCTCAAAGAAAGTTCCTTGCTGCTGGGGGCTGGGCATTTGTGCAACCTGCGTGTCCACATTTTCTGTCGGCGCAGCTGGCGCTGCCTTCTCATTTCTGAGTTCTACGCTGGTGCTTCTCAACTTGACCAACTGGGGCAAACTGTGAATTCCAGGAACTTCTCTCAGGTTGGTGGATCAGATCAGCTCCATAAACCTTCTTCAAGAAGTCCTCACCCATCTCTGAAGGGCTCTTTGGGTATTGGGCTGGCCTGGCCACAAAGCAGGAGCGCTTTCCATCTTGAAGGTGGTGGTGGGGACATTGTTCCACTTGTAGATCTCAGTCAAGGAAGGCTGCGCTTTCCCATATTTCATGTACAGGTGCAAAACCAAAGCCATGATCCAAAGCTTGCTTTTTCTCCTTCAATGATTTGATGCCACATTTTTAAGTCTGGCCACAATCAAGCTGAACATTTCATGGATTGTGAGAGAAGGCAAAGTTTTCCATTCAGTCTCAGACATGTAGTTCCAAGGTGTCAAAATGACCTGGCCACAAGACTGCAGCTTCAGATGGGAGGCATCATCTAAATCCAAGGCCTTGGATTCAGCAATGGAGGCAAGCTTCTGAGTGTAGGGCTCTGGCAGCACTCAGTCTCTTCTGAGCTAAGCTGCTGCACTTTGGAGCTCAGAGGTTTTCAACCAAGCTATTTTCACTACGTGTTCATTAATTACATTGTTGTCAGATCTCAGCTCCTTTGCTTTTTCAGCTAATGAAGCTCAGTAATGAAACAACAAACCAAGAGCATTGTGTTGAAAACAAGCTGTGTTTGCAGGGGGTGGTTGGTGTTCACTGTTTGAAGAAAGCTGTCACCTAGAGAAAGCTATATCAGCTAATGAATCATAATCATTGGCCCCAGGAGCTAAGTAAAGGGAGATTCCATGTGCATTTTTTCCAGTGGAA